GATAGAACCCTTCTAAGGGTACCCTTCTCGGAAAAGCCGCCGCGCCTGCTCAGAGCCGCAGAAATTCGCCCTGCCAGGCATATCAATCCTACTCGCCTTTAAGGATTTATCGTGCCAACTGCCCTTAAACAGTAGAAGATCGATGCCTTGGAGAATGCGTCGCTGCTAGGTTGCGTCTAAATTCAGGGAACTCGCCCATAGTTCACTTAGCTAGTCAGTTTTCATGATCCCATTTGTGGAGGTTTGCCGATCTTTTGTTTTTTTCTTCAATCTCCTCCACTTGCTAGAAGGTCCGATGATTTTGAGCCTTATATCCTGCGGAAGAGGCGGTGCCTTTAAGAGAAATTTCGACAGCCACTTCAACCAAGTATCATTCGTTTGGGATGTCTTTGTACAAAGAAGTGCATACATAAAAAAATAGTAAAAACTAAGAATTTTGAAGAAAAATGGGCAGTACAAGCAGCGTTCTATTTATGAAAGAGCTCCAACACTACGAGCAACCAACATTACGTACGGCATTTACTAAATGGCCCACTATTCAGGACCGCGAAAAGAAACATTTCAAGATATTTCCACTTTCTTCCCATGACCATTTTAGATCATTTTATTTGACTGAGTCCAAAACATCTTCCGAAATATAAGCTATTAAAATATATATATTTTCTGAGTTCTTTTCCAGTCTAAAGGATAAAGTCAGTCGAGGCTGGGGTGGTGTAGTGACAAGTAGGGCGCTCAACACCCATGCGGTATTGAGTCCAAACCCGGGTCGACTCCCTCCCAGGGCAACAAGCCTTCTACCCTCCGGGGAATTGGTACCAGATTCGTCTGGGAGGATAAAACACTGACTTGTACATCGGCTGGCCACCGCAAGTCATTGTGTAGGCCACATCGCATTCAATAACCCACTACGATTCTGAATGGAAGTAGAATGCGTGCCGCATCCCACAAAGGGATTGATCAACGGCGAAGACTTTATCCTATTATCCTTTTATTTACAGTCACGAAAAAAGTGGACCGCCCACATCTACAGAATTCACCGTTCCTTTCTGCGCTTATTAATATTATGGAAAGGATACAACGTGACATCGAGCCGCAGTTGAAGAAGCTCACCATTGACAATAAAACTGGCTACAAACTAAGCAAGGTAGTGATACGTTCATGAGGGCATTGGTTCGTTTATTATGGGCTTTATTATGAGCTTGTATTATTATGCGCTTGTCTTGGAAACTTGTAGTTTCTCTTTTCAGGAGGAAGTGAGGTTCGAAGATCCATTGGTCACCGAAAAGTATATTCAGAAAATAAACACGTTGTCGACAACGCTGGCTCGGATCAACAATGGAGACTTTAAATTCGAGCCCAGCATTGCTTTAGAATATCTCAGTGTGAGTCGATTCACCGAATGTTTTGAGTGTCAATCAACTTGGAGTACAACTATTATGTTATGTGTAGGGGCGACTTTCAAACTTTTGCAGTCACCCGACCAACGTGTGATGGTGTTCACCCCCCTAGTTTTAAGAAGAAATTAGGTATTCTCGGGTCACTCACTAGCGGTTCTTTCATATAGGAACGATATACGAATGCATCTAATGGATTTTATCCTAGGTGCTGAGCCAAGGAATCTCGATAAACGATCTGATGCCTGCGCGATACTCTTTAGAATACCTGGACAGGAATATCACAGCGCTTAAAAACAAATTCGAGGTCCAGTGCTCATCGGACTTCTACTCGCACTTTCAAAGAGACAAAGGTGAGCCGTTCCCTTTCTTTAGATTACAAATTCGCACGTTGATGACAGCTCGCGTATCTATTTTATTCAACCAGAGGGATATATGACTTTTTCAAGCTCTATGACTGCGATGCTTATGTGACGCGCGCTGTCAGTGACAGTGAGGGAAGCGAGAAAAACTCACCGGTGGCGCGCACG